ATAGCTGACTCAGTTCCCTACTTACACAGAACATTCATGGTGACTGAGACCCGGATAGGGGTGTCCAATGCTGGGCTGGACCCCTCACAGACCAGCAGCTTCCCATTATCTGAGCTCTGAGGTGTCACCCTGGGGTGGGAAGTTGGGGTTCTGGAGTCAGAGTCATCTGAAATTTGGGGAGTCAGGGTGAAGAGGTGGGGATCCCAGTTTCCCACATCTGGTCTAAGTTTCTCTGCTGGTTTCCTCTAGGATCTAGAGTTCTATGGAAGACATCTCGGGGGTCGGCAGTGAAAACTGGAATCCCGGAGCCCACACCAAAGCCCTTGTACTTGATGCTCTGGAATTTGCATTCATTTCCATGAAGATGTTTTGAAGTGTCAGAGTAAAGAATTAGGTCCCAGATGTTCACACCTGACTCTAGTCTCTGTGCATAAATCCCTGGGATATGGGGTTTTCATGGGAAAATTTGGGGGCCAGGCTGAGGGAAGGCATCCCAATTTTCATACCTGGCTGTGGCCTCTGTGGTGAAGAGTTTCTCCTGGGACCCCACATTCACATTAGCAGAGATGTCAGAAATTGTTTGTCCACCTTGGGGTAACAAGAGGGCTAGAGGGGTGCCAGGTTCCCCCCAAGGTAGATCCTGAGGAGAATGGCCTGGAAATCCTAGGGTGCACATATTGCCCCCTCCCTCCTAGTTCCAGAGGAAAAGCACCAGCTCTGTTCCTCCGCAAGTTCAGCCCTCCCGGAGTCCCTGAGGCCAAGTCCTGGGCCTCACCCCTGTCCTCACCACCTTGCTGGGTTGTATCACTCACCCCCACCACCCAGCTTCTTGCTTCTGCACCAACGATGACACGCATATCTCTGTCTGGAGCCTTGGGCTCTTCCCTGAGTTCCAGAACTGCAGTCCTGCAATCACTCTGGTACCTTTCCCTGGATGTTCCCTCCTATTCACAGGGTCTCATGCTGACCTCAACATCTCTCCAAGCCCCCTCCTGCATCCCCACCACTCAGGAAGGTCCTATTTTCTGGGACCCCTAGGAGGGCACTGGGCGGGGACACACCCCCTCCCCACTCCAGAGGCTTTACACTGTTCCCACCAGTTCACCCACTCACTCTGGATGAAGGTGATGTCAGGTGCTGGCTTTGCATCCCCAGACACACAGCTGACCACGTACTCCTGCCCAGCTACCCATGTGACTGTGCTTCCTGCCTCAGGGGTCAGCTGAAGCACCTTGGGGGGCACTGGTGAGAAAGGGTCTGAGGTGAGCTGCCACCACTGAGAAAGATGTGAGGATTTGGGTTTTCAGTCTCATTGCTCATGAAATGAGCTCGGCGCCCTGGGTCTGGGACTGGGGCCTGGAGACTGGGGACTTGGAACCCTGGGCCCTGGGATAGGAAAGGGCTGGAAATCTGGACTCAAGGGTCCTGGGGGTCTCTCACCCATACCCAGGATGGTAAGGATCACTCTGGGTGACACGAGCTCGGGGCCTGTCTCTGAGCGGCCGACCTGACATTCATACTCTGCATCGTCACTGAGGTCACATGCTTCAATGTGCAGGTGGAATTCACCTGCAGGTAAGACCAAGAGTCCCAGGTTAGGGCCACAGTCAGCCCCTGCTGGTGGCTTAGAGTCTTAGGCCCTGACCGCTTACCTCTATCGGGGTCCCCTTCTAGGCGGTACCTCGGAAAGCTGGGGATCCTAGGATCAGGGCCTAGGAGTAGCCCATCTTTGGCCCATTGCACCGCACTGCCAGGGGCGCTGACCCCACACCGCAGCTCAGCAGTGGCCCCCTCGACCACCGTCAAGTTTTCAGGCAGAGCCCAGAAGCCTCGGGGGGTGGAAGCAGGGAGTGGCAAATGGGCCAGGCCTGGGGACACAGGGCTATCAGCAGGAGAGGGCAGGGGGTCTGTCTGGAGAACATGAGCGGGAACTGAGGGCCACATGGTGCTGGGTCACAAGACCAGGATTCCACTCACCTGTGGTCAGCAGCCCCAGAAGGAGCAGGGGAACCCTGCCAGGGGTCCTCAGGGCCATCCCAGGTCCTCTGCCTGTGGCTCCTGTGGTGTCCACTGCCTACCTGCTGCCTCTGTTTCTGTCTTTCTCTGGGTCCTTCTATGTCTCTTGCTTTGCTTATCGTCCCTCTTTGTCCATTTGTCTCCTTCTCTTTCTCTGGTTTCCTCTCTTCCCAGGAGTCAGTCCGTCAGTCTCTCCCTCCCTCTCTCTCTCTCTCTCTCCCTCTCTCTCTCTCTTTTTCCTCCTCTTCAGTCTCTTCTCTCCTGCCACCCCCTCCCCTGCTCTCCTCTCACCACTCAGTCCCTCAGGGAGGACGGCTGCTCAGAGTCCGGCAGGCCTCAGGAGCCCAGGAGAGTGATGAGGCTGATGTGATCAGTGGCAGAGACCCTCAGTGACAGAGACCCAGCCACTGTTGTCTTCACAATGCTGCCTCCCCCAGGTGCCCTCCCGAGAGCCTCCAGTTCCAGGCCTCTGCCCAGCAGGCTCCTCCCAGCCCAGCCAGAGCATGAAATCCCCTGTCAGCACATGCCAGGAATATTCCTCGGTGCCTCCCCAGTCCTGATGACCCCAAGAGCCTGGCTTGGGCCAAGGATAAGGGGGAGCAGGTCAGACCCAGGTGGAGAAATGGGTCATCTAGGACTCCCCAGCTCTCTCCTCCCCTGGTACATGATCTTGGCAAGTGTCTTCCTTCCCTGAGTAGACCTCATTCCCCCCATTGCCATCAGGGGTCTCTGCCGGAGAGCGTGCAAGGGTGTGTTTGACAGACCGCAGGAGTGCAGATATCTGTGTGTGCATGTGTGTGTGAGTGCATGAGCATGCATGTGAGCATGGGGAAGTGAGAGTGAATTGTGACCTGTGAAGGTATACGCAAGAGTACGTGAGGTACATGGGGTGCCTGGGTGGCTCAGTCAGTTAAGTGTCCGACTTCGGCTCAGGTCGTGATCTCACGGTTTGTGGGTTGGAGCCCTGTGTCGGGCTCTGTGCTGACAGCTCGGAGCCTGGAACCTGCTTCGGATTCTGTGTCTCCCTCTCCGCCCCTCTACTGCTCATACTCTGTCTCTCTCTGTCTCAAAAATAAATAAAAACATTTTTAAAAATTAAAAAAAAAAGAGTACTTGAGGTATAAGTGTGCAAGGCAGTCAGAGTGGTGGGAGTGAAAGGCGGAGCTCAAGACTACACTCGCTGAGTGGGTATAGGAGTGAGCCCAGCTTGGGAGCCCTTGGCTGTGTGAGTTTTAGTTCATGAAGCTTCCCTCTGTCTCTCCCCAGCCTCTCTCTTCCCCCTTCGCCTCCTCCCCCACCTCTCTCCCCCCTCCTTTCCTCCCTCCCTCCCTCGCCATAAGGTGGTTACACCTCAGTCAACCTTTACCTCCGTCACTGTCTCTCTTTATGCCTCTACATGTCTCTGTTTTTCTGTGTTTCTTTGTTCTCATCTCTATCCCCCACTCTCCCCCGTGTTCTCTCACACGCACCAGAAACTCAATAAATATTTGTTCTCAGTCAATATTTGATTATACCTCTTTCTTTTATTTGTTTCTCCATCTCTGAGTCCTCCTGTTTCTCACATCTTTGAATTTTATAACCATATGCTGCTTGGCCTGCCCTCCCCATCCCAGTGTGCGCGCACACACACACTCACATGGGATAAGCTTCTTTTGCCTGCTTATCTCCTGCAGGAATTGGAACGGCCCGTTTCCTCCCCCCACCCCTATCGCCATGACTCCGTCCTCTGGTCTTCCTCCAGGAACAAGATGAGGCATCTGGCCTGAGCCCCCACAGCTCCATACTTCATGTTCGCTCTAGTCTTTCTGCTTCCCTCCCATTACTGACCCCTTGCCCTCCCCCACATTCCCTCTCCCAACTGCGCCCCCCCCCCCCCACGCCTCCCGGGGCACAGACTAGATGCAGAACTGGAGGTTCTGTCTTAGGGCCCTCTCACCAGATGGTATCCCTCAGGGCCAGGGTGTAAAGCTGTCAGTTGCTGGGACCTTTAATTAGCACAAACCTTCCACCCTCCACTTTGGCTGTTTTCCTTCTCTGGATGCTCCTGGGACCTCAGGCTCTCCATCTTTCCATGCCTGTGGCCCAAGAGAGCTAGGAAGGGGAAGCGATGTCAGATGTCTGGAAAAACAGCCTTACTACCTGACTTCCTCCCCAAGACTCAGGAGTCCTGGCTCCAAGTTCATCCTATGTCAAAATGCAGTCACTGGAGTCCCCAGAAGGAAGCCAGTTCAGGCCGCCAGACCTAGAAGTCTCTCAGACTCAGGAGTCCTGAAGCTTCTCCCCAAGGTCCTAGGAGTTGAGGCCTCCAACCCTCCCCCCTCAACGCACACACAGGACTTAGGGCAGATGTTCACCGTCTGTGATTTTCAAATCCTCCTGGGCCTGCGTGGGGGTGGGAGAGATTGGTGGTTAATCCACTGACTCTAAGACTTAAGACCAGATTTTCTGACCCCCTATCATCCTCTCCCAACTGCACCATGCTGCAGGCAGGGGACCTAGCTGAGTCCCCAGCTCCTCAGAAACTGGCAGTTCAGGCCATTAACTTGTCAGTCAACAGAGGTCTGTTCGCCCAGTCTTAGAATCCTAGAGTCCAAACGCCTGCCATTTGAGGACGTCAGAATCTGAGCTCAGGAACGAGAGAGAACCTGAGTGTGGGCCCCCAGTCACTACAGGCTCAGGAATGTCAGACCCAGGGTCCCAGCCCCCTCCAGGTCGCACTCGATTGGCTCGGGGTCCCGCCCACCTGCCGGGCCAGCTGCGCAGCGCACCGGCCGGCCAGAAGCGTGGGAACGCCCCAGCTGGGCGGCAGGCGGCCGTCAGGACAAGCTGCGCGGTTCCCAGCCTCCCCGCCTGCCCCAGCTCGGGCACCGCCGCCTCCCAGCCGTCGCCCAGCAACCACAGCGGGGACGAGGGGCTGAGCCGGGACTGCGGGGTCTCGGGAAGGGGTGGGGGATGCTGGGGGCCTGGATTCCTGGATTCTTGGACGTGCTATGGGTTGCAGCAAAAGGGGTTCAACCCCTTTTTAAGAGGGGTTTTGAAGCGAGAAGAGCTGGACCCCCTCCTCTTCTCGGGGGTCCCGGTTGCCCCAGGGACCCCGGTGTCCTCTTCCTGACCCTCAGGCCCAGGGGGGACCCGGGCCCCGCCTCCCCAGGGCGCGGAAACTAGCGAGGCCCCAGAGGCTCCCGTTTATAGCTTCGTTTCCACTCAGCGCCGTCCCTCCGAGGACCTGGGCTGAGCAAGTTTCTTCCACTCTCTCCCCCCCGCCATGTCCCCCACAAGCCTGGCTGGGTGCAGGTGTCCAACTCAGCCGGGACGCCCTTCTTCGACCCAGGTGTTCTGGCTCCCAGACCCCAATTTGGCTGGGGCGCCCGCCCGCGGGGAAACCCCGCCCTGGTTGCCCCCATTCATCCAAGTCTCTGCCGCGCGAGTTCCTCAATGGGAAAGGGCGGGTCTCCAAGGGGGCGGGGCGAGTGGGATCGGGCCCTCCCCGGTCTCTCAGAGACAGAGGGCGCGGAACCCGCCCGTGTTTCAGAGTGTTGGAGCCTGCAGCTGGGCAGACTGGGGGAACTCCAGGCCAGAAACGGGGTGGCCTCTAGCCTGGGGCGAAGAGTCGGGCGCGAAGGGAGCTCCCACCAGGGTCGTGAGAGGTGTGCTATTGAGGAAGAAGTTAGCAGGAAAGCCCGTGCAGCAAGTCTGCGGAATCTTGGGGGACACACGACGGGGATGCTGGTCTCCGCCCTCCTCGTTCTCCTCTTCTGCCTCAGAGGGCATGCAGGTACCTCCAGGGGCGGATGAATTTGGGGGGGAGGATTGTTTGCCAGCTGCCTCTTTCCTGGGGTGGATGGAACTGGGGGTTCAGACTCCTAGATCTGCCGGAGGAGAACTTCGGGAGCCTAGACTCCTGGGTCCCGAATGAGGGAGCTAAGATCGTTGCTAAACTCAACCTTACTCCCTTCCCCCAATTCTCCTAGGCCCGTCGCCCCATTTCCTGCAACAACCGGATGACCTGGTAGCACTGCTGGGGGCTGAGGCCCGGCTGCCCTGTGCCCTGGGCGAATACTGGGGGCTGGTTCAGTGGACCAAGGACGGGCTGGCTCTAGGGGGTGAAAGGGACCTACCAGGTGAGACTGTTCTCTCTACTCAGGAGGGGTTGGCTCCAGGTGGGGGTGCTGAGCTTGCGCCGTATCTGAAGTCTCTATTTTAATGTTTTCAAATTTAGGAAATTGATGGGCTCAGATAAACATCTGGGAGAACTAAGTTTTAGCTTCTTTAGGGGGTAGGAGATTTTTATTTGTATTATAAAATACTACATAAATGTAGGAAGGCATATAAAACACAAAAGGAAGATTTGCCAAATAAAGGAGACACTCGCATAACTACTACTCATGACCCTTGTCAGCTCCTCAGAAGCTTTCTTATTCCCTCTCCTACCATAGCCCTCTCCTCACCCCAGACGTAGTACTAATTTGATTTTTATAGCAATTGTTTTCTTTTTTTCTGACGTTTTCACCCCCAAGTTTGCCATGACTCTGGATGCGAGAGGGTTAGTCTCTCTGGCTTAGCACCCACTTTTTGGTGTCTTTCTGGCGTGGGGTGCCTGGGAAAGGAGACTGAGGCCAGGAACTCAGAATGATGGTGACTGCCTCTTCCTTAACTTCAGGGTGGTCCCGGTACTGGATATCAGGGAACGCAGCCAGTGGCCAGCACGACCTTTACATTAGGCCCGTGGAGCTAGAGGATCAAGCATCATATGAATGTCAGGCTACACAAGCAGGCCTCCGCTCTCGGCCAGCCCAACTGCATGTGCTGGGTGAGGACTCAATCCACTTGTACCTGGGAAGCCCAGGGGGACAGCCAGTGCTTAGCTGAGTGTCAGAGTCCGAGGAGCCCAGGGGGGTGGTTAGTTAGAGCTGGGAAGATTGGGGTCTCTGGGCCCAGGGTCCAGCTCTGACTCCAATCCACCCCACAGTACCCCCAGAAGCCCCCCAGGTACTGGGAGGCCCCTTTGTGTCTCTGGTTGCTGGAGTTCCTGCAAATCTGACCTGTCGGAGCCGTGGGGATGCCCGCCCCATCCCTGAGCTGCTGTGGTTCCGAGATGGGATCCGTCTGGATGGGACCACCTTCCACCAGGTCAGGTCGAAATCCCTGTGCAGCTCTTGCCCATTCAGGGAAATCTGGGGTCTGCTCAGACCACAGGTTTATCCAGAGGAGAAAAGGGCATGGGAGGAAGGAAGTTCAAGGGTTAGGACCCTTAGTATGTGATTAAGGGTAAGGATTCCAGAGCCAGATATCTCGGGTTCAAATCCTTGCTAGTTGATCAAATCACTTGCTAGTTGATTGATCTTGAGTTCAGGTAACTTAACCTCTCTGTCCCTCAAGTTTCCTTATCTTTATCTGTACAATAGGGACAATAATATTCACTTCATAGGGTAATCGTGAGGATTAAATAAAGTACTTTGAAGTGCCTGATACATAGTAAACACAATATAGCAAGAAGATGAAATCATTATTATTATTCATAACCTCCAGACCCTGCTGAAGGAAGGAACCACTAGGTCGGTGGAGAGCATCTTATCCTTGACTCCTTCCAGTGCTGATGACGGAGCCACCTTGGTCTGCCGGGCCCGGAGCCAGGCCCTGCCCTCAGGGAAGGATACAGCTATCACACTAAGCCTGCAGTGTGAGTGCAGTTAAAAATTGACCCTCCAGGCTGCAGGCCCTTGGGAAAAGAGAGGCCTGAGGTCTGGACTCCAAGGTTTGAGGAAAGAGGAGGCTGTGGACCTGCGACCCTGGGGAAATTGGGAACTGGAGTCTTGGACTTCTTAGCTCAAAAGGAAGAGGAGAGGGGCGCCTGGGTGGCTCAGTCAGTTGAAATTCCAACTTCGGCTTAGGTCATGATCTCATGGTCTGTGAGTTCGAGCCCCACGTCGGGCTCTGTGCTGACAGCTGGGAGCCTGGAGCCTGCTTCAAATTCTGTGTCTCCCTCTCTCTCTGCCCCTCCCCCTCTCATGCTCGTGCGTGCTCTCTCTCTCTCTCTCTCTCAAAAATAAACATTAAAAAAAAAAAAAAAGGAAGAGGAGAGTGGGGACCCAGACTCCTGGGGTGGAGAGGCTGGGCACTGGACTCAGATGCTCCATGGAGGTGTTCCAGGTCCTTGCCCACCGCTAACCATTGACCTACCTCCACAGATCCCCCAGTGGTGACTCTGTCTGCAGAACCACAGAGTGTGCTGGAGGGAGAGAAGGTCACTTTCCTGTGCCAAGCAACAGCCCAACCTCCTGTCACAGGCTATAGGTGAGGTCGCCTCTCCTCAGCCCAGAGCAGGGTTTAGGGAGGACTAGGGTTGGGACGTGCGCGGGAGTGCCAGGGGAGCAGGGAAAACATGAGCAGCCTCACTGCCTCTGCTCTGCAGGTGGGCAAAGGGAGGTTCCCCCGTGCTCGGGGCCCGCGGACCAATGTTGGAGGTTGTGGCAGACGCCTCATTCCTGATTGAGCCAGTGTCCTGCGAGGTCAGCAACGCAGTGGGTAGCGCCAACCGCAGCACAGCGCTGGATGTGCAGTGTGAGCGGGGGCGGGGCCCTGGGTGTGGCCAAAGTGGGGCAGATGGGGGGCGTGGCTGCGACTGGCTGCGGGAGAAGGTGGGACGGAAAAGGATGTAGGCAGGGATTGGCTGTGCTGGGTCAACGCCACGGGGAGCAGGGGCGGGAAGGTGTCGTTTCAGAGTAGCCGATCCTGGGTCTGAAGTTGCATCCCTCCCCGACCATGTGACACCTCCTCTCCTCTCCTCTCCTCCAGTCGGGCCGATTCTGCAGGCAAGGCCGGAGCCCATGTCTGTAGACGTAGGGGGAGACGCTTCCTTCAGCTGTGCCTGGCGCGGGAACCCGCTCCCACGGGTAACTTGGACCCGCAGCGGGGACGCGCAGGTGAGACCCGATCTAAAGCCTGTGGCCGTGGCTGGCGGTGGACAGAACTTCCTCTCAAGGTCCTGCCCCTGATGCCCCTACCCTCTCCCAGGTGCTGGGCTCTGGGCCCACGCTGCGTCTTCCGTCGGTGGGGCCCGAGGATGCAGGCGACTACGTGTGCAGAGCTGAGCCGGGGCTCTCTGGCCTGGGGGGCGGCGCTGCGGAGGCTAGGTTGACTGTGAACGGTGAGAAAGTGGCGCTTCCTAGAAGACCTGGCAGAGACTGGGACGGGACACAGAGTGGGCAGAGGGGGCCAGCCCTAAACGGGGGTGGGCGTGCCCTTGAGAGGGAGAGCTTTTTGGACGGCGGGGCCTGGGGCTGGGAGCCAGACCACGCGAAGGCGAGCCTCTGAGGGATTCGGGGTTTGTTGAGGGGCGTGGCCTGGTTGATTGGCTTTAGTGAAGAGTGCCGAGACCTGGCCCCGCCTTATTGAGAACTGACGTTTCTGAGGGCAGGGCCTCTATATGACTGGTCCACAATCTCCAAAACAGCTCCCCCAATTGTGACCGCCCTGCATTCTGCGCCCGCCTTCCTGAGGGGCCCCGCCCGCCTGCAATGTCTAGTCTTTGCATCTCCGGCCCCAGATGCTGTGGTAAGGGAATGTCCGCGCTCTCACGACCAGC